TAACACAAGGAAGGGCATAGAAGAAGCAACAGGAGAGCCGGGGCTGGGCTGCTTGGCTCACTGAGAAGTCAGAGAAAAGGGGGCCTTGGAGACAGATTCAGGAGGTTAACTCAGGACGAGCTGCAGCTGCCTGCTGCTCCCCTGGTTGCAATTTTGGTGGGGTCCCTTAAAGCAGTGGTTCTCAACCTTCCTAATGCCGCTACCCTTTAATACAGTTCCTCATGTTGTGGTGACCCCCAATTTCATTGTTACAAATTGAACATAATGAAAGCATAGTGATTAATCACAAAAACAATATGTAATCATATATGTGTTTTCCGATGGTCTTAGGCGACCTCTGTGAAAGGGTCGTTCGACCCCCAAAGGGGTCATGACCCACAGGTTGAGAACCACTGCCTTAGAGGAAAGAAGGGGGAAGGGAATGGCAAGGGTGTGCTCCCGTGGGGGAGAGCGTGCACTATGTTCTTCATCCTGAGCGTCTTTATCTCTCTTGCAGGTAGAAATCATAGGGGAGGTCTCAGGGGAGGGTCTCCATAGAATATTCAACAGTTTATCAGGTGTGCGCTTTCAGGGACGTGGTCTCCACTGATTGGTCGGTTATTAATCAATGTAGCTGGTCCTGAGGTAGCCATGGCATCACTTGTCTGGTTTTCCCGCTTTTCTGGGCTGGAGCTGAAATACAACTGAGGCCTAGATGTTATCTTTAGGGAGGAGAAGGTCAGGGGGTCTAAACTGCATGACTAGTGATATGAAAAGATAGGGGGTCCAAATAGCATGACCAGGAATATGCAAGGGGAGGATAGGTCTCCCTGGGGGTGAGGTTCTTGTTTTCCCAGTTTTGCCAGGCATCTGGGGCTTTCCGCCCTGGTGAGTTTCTGTACCTGGCTCATCGTCCTTGCTCTGCTCATGTCTGTCTAACTGCTTATAACATTATCAAGTTGTTAATCTTCAACTATATTAATAAATCATCTGAAAAACAGCCATCTTGCCAGAATCTATGATAACAGCCAGAAGATGAATGTACTGGTATTGATTTATTACAAAATTTTTTATTTCTGTGAATGAAAGAGGATACATGCTAACCTGACTAGCTCAGGGAAGACCTGCATGGTGGCTTTGCAAACTCAGAAATCTAAAGTAATCACAAAGGATGGAAATTAAAGCTTTTTTTAAACTAAAAGCAGTTTATGGTGGGTAGTCATGTCCTAGGCCAGCATCTTCCCTGACAAAGGTCAGTCTTTACCTTACCTGCGCCTGTCTATTGTCTTTTTGCATCTATGATAACATCTCATTGGAATGTCAAAGTAATTTCCCTTTTTCCGGAGCCCTCAAAACACAGGCACCACTCTGTGGCGGAGATCACTAATCTCCTCATTGCTATTGAGTTGTTGACTGTTAACTATCTGGCACTCACCTAAATAAGTCTCTATCATTTTATTTTTTATCCAATCCCAGAGGTTTCCCTGCTTTGCTTTCTCCCACTTCCCTAATCTATCCCCAATGGATTTTATGTAATCAATATACATCTTCTATTTTGATTATAATGTGTAAAATAAGGTGTGAAACGGCCACTCTCTGGAGTATTATCTCAATCCATTAAGATTTTGCTTCTCGGCAATTGTTGACAGTTTGGGCTCAAATAAACTCACAAAAGTTCTTCACAGGTTTGAATGTTTCTTTACGTTGACAGTTCCCTTGGTCTTGGGCAATTTATTTATTTATTTTTTAATTAAAGAGGAGTTATTTGGAGAGAGATACTAGAGTGTGCTCAGACATGTAGCTCCAACCCACCTCCTCTCTTCTCCCTTTCCTGTAGATCTCTCCTCCAGTTAGTGGAGATAGGATACCCTTTGCTGTAGTAATCACTGGTTTAAACTCCTTGAGAGCAACAGTAGCTAACGTTTTTCTAAGCGTTTACTAATAGGATAAGAAAAATCACTTTGATAGCTCCTCTCGAAAATTTTATGTATTAAAATGGTGAAATAGACAAGAATTTCATCAAAATAAGAACCTCACACAGATTAAACCCACTGACTGGGGGCAGGATGCTCATTTACCAATAAAAATTGGTAAATGAATGAATTCATGCATGCATCCTACTCTTTTAAATTCTATGCTACATAAAACAAACCTACATGGGTTTCTTTTAACTTAGGTTTTAGAGACACTTTCATAGATAGCTATCATTTTACAAATAAATCTGTAATCTAAACTGTCATTAAAACCATGTTATTTCACCTTTGTCCTCCTAACCCATCACCTAAAATAACAATAAGAAGAATTCAATTACTTGTGAAAATGATTGCAAAGGTCTTACTAATCCCACTAGAATGTAAATGTGATCAGAGGACAAAAAACAATAAAGAAAGAAGCCCTAATGCCAGATTCTCAGCCACTGCCTAAGACCACTCTAGCATTCAGGAATGACTTTCTTCTTTGCATGAAACATCTTAAAATCTGATGTTGTAATTTAAAGAAAACTTAATTTTAACAAAATGTTAGTTAGCTGTAAACTCGCTTCTTTTCCATGTCCTGGTAATTGATATTACAGATTTCCTTATGGATTAAAGTCTTCTTTTCATGTTAATAAATAGATGTTGGAGGGGGAAAAAATCTCTAGAAGAGTCCCAACTCTCAGAATCTGCCTCTTGGGTGAATGGAGGAGGTAGAGAAGGACAGAAAAGGCAATAAATAGAATGTCTAACTCATCACTTTGGAATTAACCAAACATAAATAAAACTGGGAAAGGAAAGTAAGAAAGAAGGGCCAGGGTAAGCAGGACCACCCCTGGAAAAGAAGGGGCCGGGAAAGCATGAGATCCAAGTGTACCACTCTACAGAGTTTCAACACCGCCCTCCATACGAAGCAGTAGTGGTAGGTCAACGTTTTACTTAATTATTAAAAATTCTAAGGTTTGGCTCCAAAATAGTTTTCCAGTTCAAGTCGTGTTCTTTTTTTATAATTGTTATTTTTTCAAAAATAGACTTTTTCTTTCAGAAGAGGTCATTCTTCAAATCCAGTTCACACAAGAGGATTTGGAACGTACAGCGAGTTCCAAATGCACTATATTCAGCAACACTTTAGCGGGTTCCCACTACGTCTTCGGCTCTGAGCAAGCTGCAGGCACCCCCTCAAGTCTAGAACCCATTATTTAGCTTTTGGCAAGTTTTTACTACTCCTTTTCCTCTCCAAACACACATCTAAGCCCACCAGACCTTTAGACCCTTTATGAACATTCCATCCCCTCCCTTCTACAAGCTTTTGAGGGAGTAGTCAGCAGACTGGTCCATTGCAGTGTGGCTTTTATGCTAGGGGCTGGTTTGCATGATTCCCACAAAGCAGTTCCAGAAGCGACTGCCAGGAATTTTTTACAGGGTTTTCTGATTCAAAGGAAACTTGAGTTATAATTTAGAGGGTTGGGGCGGGGGAAATCAGACCTTCCCTGAAGGTGCAAACCCCCAGGGGCAGGAGGCTCCCCTTCCCAACTCCACACCCTCACACACTGTGGCCAAGGGACTCCCTGAGTAGCTGATGGGCTTGCAGGGTCCCCTGGCACTTGCGGGGCTGCCAGCAACCAGGTGGATGGCTCCTTCTCTCCCAGGGCGACGACAGCGACAACACCGCGGTTTGGGAGCCTACTGTGTGTCAGAGACCCTATCGAGTTTTACATGAATTGACTCATTTAGTCTCACGCGAAGGCTCCGTGAGCAGGTATCATTGCTTCCACGTCTTACGGAGGCAGCTGAGGTTCCCAGACGGGCCGAAGCTCACACCGTGAGCAGCAGAGACGAAGCCAGACCCTCGGGTGCCATCCCCGCTCTTAACCTCCAGCTGAGCCCTCAGCAAGGCCATCCCCCTGGACAGCCTGCGGCCTGACGCGCCCCGCTTCCAGCACCCTCCGGCCCCATCCCTGTCCCCGAGGCGCCCCTCGCCGCCCGGGCGGGCCCAGAGGTGCCGGGGCGGAGCGCTCTCCTCGCGTCCCGGCCGGGGAGGAAGGGGGGAGGGCCCCGCCCGGGGGAGAAGGGGGGGGGGAACCCGCCGGGGAAGGGGGGGCGTGGGGCGCGCGAAAAAGGAAACCAAGGGTGCCGGCGGCCCGCCCCGGCCCTCCCGGG